GCACAGTCACTCCTCATGTTTGCTGGATAACAGGTGAGCCGGGGATCAGCACAATATTATACATAAATCTCTAAAGTCACTACGCAATAACAAGTGTGTGAAGTGAATCAATGTAAACTTTATGAATTAAATGAGCACAAATCAAACAACTGCATTGATGTTGCCTCTCTGTGCATCTCTCAGAAAACAGAGCTTGGAAAGAAGAGTAATATCAACTAAAATACTACATCATACACGTTCTACTATTTATGTATATTTAAATGTCAATGATTTAAACCTTGTACAATATGATACACGGATGAATGGAATAAGCACAGAGTGATCGCCAATCAAACAGCCGCATTGCCATCTCTGCGCGTCTCCGTCTTTAAAAAACCAAACCAGCTCTCTGTCAAGAGTAGGCTATAATCAACTTAGATACATATACATTTTCTACTGGGCCTACACATTTGCTCCTTTATCTTTTGCTGGTTTGCATGGCACACACATATTTGTTTAGTGAAGTTCAAAAGAGACTCACTTAAAGAGAAATAGTTCTGCATAATGAAAATGTGTGCCTTGAATTAATTCAGTCGTGTTCAAATGATCACTAAATGTTTGTCGTGAAATCTCTGCTTTTATGATAACTTTATTTTTAGAAATTATAAATTGTATATTTTAGAACACTGAATAGGACAAATTGTTGAAACACGCATGCTATTTTACATAAACCTCTAAAATTACTACGCAATAACGAGTGTGTGAAGTAAATGAGTGTAAATTCCATGAATGAAATAAGCGCAAATAAAATAGCAGTGTTGCAGTTGCCTTTTTTCATGCATTTCCTGGAAATTACTTAAATCAATTTTCATATTTCCAAACTGCACAGGAACCTTTACTGTTTTCAATAGGACCCCTTTAAATATTTATTTATAGGATCAAGAAAGGTCCTCAAGCTGGGACTCGAACTTGCGTCGCGCCGAAGCACTGCCTATACAAGGGTATCGGCACCGACTGTTAGAAGATATTTAAATGTTATAATCATAAAAAATATATATATATATTTTAGTTAAACACGGCATATTTGTTCAGTGATAACTACAAAAAAAAGATGTTGTAAAACCATAGACATACCCTAATGGTCTTCTCAAGTAACTGTATGAACTTCCGGTTCAAGCCCCACCCACTTTTATAATGAACCCACTTCCAGTTTTATCTGAATACAGATGCAGATACGAATAATTTTGTGATTGTTACAGATACAGATACAAATATTGGCTCCGCTACACACCCCTAATATACAGTCCGTGATTGGGCTTGTGATGAGGATCAGGTGATGATGATCAGTATTCTGGTGTTGATTTAAGTGTTGATTTAATTAACTGGGCTAGCAGTAATTAGACCTTGTTGCATTTAGTCCAGCTGAACCCCTTTATGAACCTAATATACAGTCCGTGATTGGGGTTGTGATGATGATCAGTATTCTGGTGTTGATTTAAGTGTTGATTTAATTAACTGGGCTGGCAGTAATTAGACCTTGTTGCATTTAGTCCAGCTGAACCCCTTTATGAATGCAGTTTCATCGATTTGGGAATTTTCCAGAATTTTCACAGTTAAAAAAAAATGGCCCAGTTGGTGTTAGATAACTTTTTTGCTTCAATATATAACATTATTTTTAAAGCTATATTATTACATTTGTTTTATGTTAGATTTAGTTTTAATTTTTGAAAAAAAATTAGTGTGAGATATGAACAAAAACAGAAGTAATCAGGATGGGGGCAAACACATTTTCACAGCACTGAATGTATCCCTTTCCATTAATTGTAGCTGATGTGGAGAGAGGTCTTCTCGTAATAGTGTTCAGTACTTTTTAGCAAACAAAAATGTTTGGGTGCAAGAAGTGTAGAGACACAACATAGACATTAATGAACTTCCTGTGTGTTTGCGTTCACCTGAAAGAATTTTTCCACATGTTCTCTGGGAATATCATCATGCATGGAGGGATACACATACTTCCCCATCAAATCATAAATCGACTTCATGATCTTCATCATCTCCTGAGAGACCGAAACCACATACACACATATATACTTTAACATTAGTCTTTCTAAACACACCAATGCTATATGTTCATGTGAATGCTAAACCACTTCATTTGAAGTACCTCTCTTGTGATGAATCCATCCTTATCAAGATCATAGAAATTAAATACCCAATTTAGCCGGTCATATATTGAGCCTCTAAGGATGAGTGACAGACCAGCAACAAACTCCTGTAAAATGACAGTAATAAGAAATATAAATCTGTCAGGAAACAAACAAACAAATAAATAAAATCTTAACTGGAAGGCAGGTTACAAGCTTTGTTGTAGACCCACCGCTCTGCACATTTATGTCTCTCTTAACTGATACATTTAGTTGAGCTCATAGATCTTCTCCTACCCAGTAGATGATATGAATCAAGTGTGTTAGATATGATGGACATAGAAAGTGCAAAAAGAGAATGCTGTATCTCACATATTATCATGTCACTTTGTCAATACCTCTTGTCAGTAACCCCAAAACTATTGGCTACAGCTTACCTTAAAACTCAAACAGCCATTCCTGTTAGTATCAAATGCCTCAAATAGGTAATGTGCATAAGTTCTTGAATCTGACAGACAGAAAGAAAGAATTGGTCAATGATTTATATATAGCCAAAAACCTTCAACATAATTCAATATGCAATGAATGATTATATGTCTTTAAGAAGAAAAAAAAAATGAAAATGTAAATTAAGGTTATACAATAGAGAAGTTAGCAATTATTTGTGCCATACAAAGGATGATATTCCCAGCTAATGTGCTGACGTTCCTCCTTGTATAATCTAAGTAGAGGAACATTTACATTTTTAAAGGCCCTGTAGAGGAATTGCAGCTCTTTCTTGCTGAATTCAGTCTCTTCCTGTAGTATGTCCAGATCATCAGGCCGATGACAAACAAAGGATATTTCAAACTCATCCTCAGTACTTTCTGTAAGAGAAACAACATCTCATCAAAAATCGATAACTGAATGTTACATTTCTCATCTGTTTTAGAGAAAGTGTTATGGAGAAAGCTATTTTGTCACTGATGGTGAAATAATTGGTTAATTTAAGGTGAAGTTTTTTACAGTATGGAGCGTAACACGTCAGTGACAAATCAAACTTACTTTCAAAATATGCAATAAATTAATGTAGAAAAATATAAGTACAATAATAGACTCTGAATTTCAAAAACTCAAAATAACACAGCTCTGCTTCCACTCTTGAGAGAAAATGTTCAAAAAAAAAAACATTTAAAAAGTAGCTGCA